GAGTTAATGGCATGGATGCACCAGAGGCTATCTTTACACGTCCCGTTCAGGAGGAATTGGCATATCCTGCTCACCGACCCTTGACCCATCCATTTTTCACATCTTGAAAAATGCATGTTTAGGACTGGAAGCAAGTTTGTACCCGTTCCACTTCCATTGCTGCCTGTTACTGGGCTCTGATTACGAAAGGGGGTTAGATATTGGTAACTTGCGGTGTAGACTTTTATCTGCAGGCCTAGATAAAACAGGTTCCAGTCACGGCCCCTGTGTGGCCAAAGGACACAGCACACGTGCCTTGAAGTGGGAGATGGCTGCATTCCCTCCCTTCCCTGTCCCATCGCAGTCTAAAAGTACAGATGCAGGCCATTTCAGTTCAAGGGGCAAAGAGAATTCTAGCCAGACTACACACTCTGCTCCATAGTGGATGGGAATAAATGTTGATATGTGGCTCAGGTCAGCATTCATGTGAATCGAGAGAGAGAGAGAGAGGGAGTGAGAGACATTCTCTACTTCCTAGGGTGCACTGTGTCTCGGGCCAACACACACTGTCTGGATCCAAGGGTTCAAGTCAAGGTCAGGTCAGCTGGGCTGGTTTTAGCCTGGGGCACAATGAGAGGGACGAAATCTCAGGCAGTACCAAAAGAGAACCAGCCGCCGAGAGCAGGGGGAGGGGTCAATTGTAGTATTTGCAAGTTCCAACAAAGGTATGCACCTCCAAACCAACTGGCAGCCCATTCTTGCAAGCTAAGTGAAGGTATCGCATCTCCTTTCACAGTAACCACAGTGGATCATTCATGGAGTCTAGAAATAATTCTGGTGGCTAGAACACTGCAAGGAAAGATTGTAGCTAGACAAAGGAGGAGATTTAACTGTGATCTTTTTATAAAATATCCTTTTCATGGAATATGCATGTTGTTGGCAAGGCCATTATTTATTTTCCATCCCTAAACTGGAAGTAATGCACAATGGGAGAGAAAACAGCAACAGGGGACTGAGTTGGATGAACAGCCTTGATTGTATTGAGTGATGGAGTGGGGCTGAATGGCCTACTCCTATTTGCTATGGCTGTAGGTTTGGGAATCACAGATCAACCAGACCAGGTCAGGATAATAGATCTCCCTCCCGAAAGGGCATTAGTGAACTAAATGGATTTCTATCACAATTGTTTTGCAATCATTTTCTCTGAGACTAGTGTCAAATTCCAGATTTATGAATTGAAATGAAGTTCAGTGGCTGGCAGAATTTGAATCCTTTCTCCGTCAGAGCATAAGGCTGGGCCTGTGGATTACTAGTCCAGTGTCGATATCAGTACACAACCATCTACCTCTGTCTGAAAGCTTCCATATGGCTTTGATAAGGTGGACATGGGGAAGCTGTTTCCACTTGCGTTGTACGCTGATAAAAAAGATAGAAATGAAAGAGATTTGAACCAAATCAGTCCAGAGCAGCAAGAGGGTGGGGAACTTGCTGCCATGTGGCATGGCTGAAGCAGATTGCTTAGATGTAGCTGGAGGTAGAGGAGATGTAGAGGTGACCTGATGTATAAGGAGGAAAAGGATAGAGGGATGTGGGTCAGGATGCAAAGAGGTAAATAGAACAGAGGAAGCTGTTGTAGAACTTAAACAGCAGCACGGGTCAATAGGTCCAAATGGCCTGTATTCCTGTGCTGTTTGTACGGTGCATTCCTTTTCCCGAAGCTGGGGGAAATAGTCCCACTCAGTCATTTCCCCAAATAATTGCCTCCTCTAGTTCTCATTTTTAGTTTACTCATGGGGTGTGGATGTTGCAGGTAAGTAATTGACTGTCCCTGATTGCCTTTGAGAACACTTAAGAGTGTACCACATTGCTCGAGGTGCGGAGTTTTGTTTTCAATTTACTCAAGAGATGTGGGCATCTCTGGTTCAGCCAGAATACATTGCCCATCCCCAGTTGCCCAGAGGGCAGTTAAGAGTCAATCACATTGCTGTGGGTTGTGGAGTCACATGTAGGCCAGACCAGGTAAGGATGGCAGTTTCCTTCCCTAAAGGGCATCAGTGAACCAGATGGGTTTTCCCTGATATATGACAATGGTTTCATGGTCATCATTAGATCCTTAGTTCCAGATTCTTGTTATTGAATTCAAATTCCACCATCTGCTGTGGCGGGATTTGAATCCAGGTCCCCAGAACATTAGCTGAGTTTCTGGGTTAACAGTCTAGCGATAATACCACGAGGCCATTGTCTCTCCCGAGTCACATTTAGGACAGACCAGTTGAGGATGGCATATTTCTCTCCTTATAGGAGGTTAGTGAACCAGATGGGGTTATTTTGCAACAATGAAGGACACTTTCAAGGGTTACCATGACAAAGAATAGCATTATATTGAATATGAATCCCATCAACAAGATTGGTGGGATTTGAACTCATTCCCAGAACATTAGCCTGGGCCTCTGGATTACTGGTTCAATGGTATTGACATAACATCATCTTTGGATGTAAACTGTATGTTTTACAGCTCCATCTGTGGGATAAATACTGTAAGAAACCATTATCTCTGCATCGTCTGCTGCATATTCTGTTATAAAACTGCTCGCATCTTCAATCATATCTGTGATAGCAGCAACACAGAAAAGCAACTAAATTCTCATGCTTGAGTTGCTTGACCTTCCTTTTCCCACTCCTATCTCCTACGATCCATTGGAATCTCTGCATTCCTCCAATTCTGACCTCTTCAGCATTCCTAGTGTCCATCACTGCACTGTTGTTGGCTGGGGATTCAGCTGCCTGGGCCCCACGCTCACAACTCTCTTCCCCAAAATTTCTGTACCTTCTCTCTACATTTGAAGATGTTCCTTAAATCTTGCTCCCCTGGCAAATCTTCAGGTCACCATCCTAACCCCGCATGCTTTCAGATTAATTCTGTTAAGGTTTTACACAATGCAATTGCATTGTTATGAATGGAGCTACCACAGTATTATTACTGGGGAACTAAGGGGTCATCTGCCTGCATTGACCATGAAATGAACTGGATGAGCCATATCAATACTGTGGCTACAAAAGCAAGTTGGAGGCTAGGAATCCTGCAGTGAGTAACTCATCTCCTGGGTCCCTAAAACCTGTCCACCATCTACAAGGCACAAGTCAGGAGTGTGATGGAATACTCTCCACTTGCCTGAATGGGTACAGCTCCAACAACACTCAGGAAACTTGACACCATCCAGGACAAAGCAGCCGGCTTGATTGGCACTACCTCCACAAACATCCACTCCCTCCACCACTGACATGTGTACTATGTACAAGGCATTCTGCAGAAATTCACCAAAGATCCTTATACAACACATTCCAAACCCATGACCTTTCCCATCTAGAAGGACAAGGGGCAACAGATACCTGGGAACACCGCCCCCTGCAAGTTCCTCTCTAAACCACTCACCATCCTGACTTCAGTGTCGCTGGGTCAAAATCCTGCAACTCCCTCCCATAACAGCACTGTGGGTGTCTCTTCACCAAATGGACTGCATCAGTTTAGGAAGGTAGCTCATCACTACCTCCTCATGGGCAATTAGGGACAGGCAGTAAATGGAAGCAAAGCATCCCACAATTAATGAAAAGCTTTTGTAGTGTGGTTGCTCCTTTAATGAAGAAAACAAAGCAATCAATTTGTGCACCGCGAGCTAACGCAAAAATAGAGGTACATCAACAGATCATCTTTGTTTGGTGATGGATCAGCAGTTGAATATTTCATTATAAGACTATAGACATAGGAGCAGGAGTAGGCCATTCAGCCCATTAAGTCTGCTGCATCATCAGTGAGATTGAGGCTGACCTGATAATCTTCAACTCCACTTTCCTGCCTTTTCCCAATAATCTGTGATTCCCTCACTGGTTAAAAATCTGTCTATCACTGCCTTCTGCATAATTAATGGCTCAACCTTAACAGTAATGTGAAGGCCCTTGCAGGAAATGAACACAAGACCTCTTGTAAATTATTTGCCAACTCACTCCAAAGTAAGAATTGTACCTCTAAACCAATGAGCCGATTTAAACACTGAAGCCTAGAAAACAGAAGCAGGGAATCTCATGATGCAATGGTAGTGTCCGTCTCTCTGAGCCAGGAGGCCTGGATTCAAGTCCTTCTTGTTCCGCGGCGTGTGATAACATCTCTGGACATGTCGATTAGAAAATAGCAGCGGGAGTAGGCCATTCAGCCCTTCGATCCTGCTGCACCATCCAATATGATCATAGCTGATCATCCAACTCAATAGCCTGTTCCCACTTTACTTTTCTTCTATTCATTTGTGGGATGTGGGTGTCGCTGGCTGCCCAGCATTTCTTGCCCATCCCTAGTTGCCCTTGAGAAAATGGTGGTAAGCTGCCTTCTTGAACCGCTGCAGTCCCCCTGCTGTGGGTTGACCCACAATGCTATTAGGGAGGGAGGGAATTCCAGGATTTTGACCCAGCGACAGTGAACGAACAGCGATATATTTCCAAGTCAGGATGGTGAGTGACTTGGAGGGGACCTTGGAGGTGGTTGGTGTTCCCAAATATCTTATGCCCTTCGTCCTTCTAGTTGGAAGTGATCGTAGGTTTGGAAAGTGCTGTCTGAGGATCTATAGTGAATTTCTGCAGTGCATCTTGTAGATAGTACACACTGCTGCTACTGAGCATCAGTAGTGGAGGGAATGGATACTATTTCCCCCATATTGATCCCTGAACCAAAAAACCAAAGAATTACTGATGCTGGAGTTCTGAAGAAGGGTCACCAGACCTGAAACATTAACTCTGCTTTCTCTCCACAGATGCTGCCAAACCTGCTGAGTTTCTCCAGCAATTTCTGATTCTGTCCCTTCGATCTCTGATTGTTTTATTTGACTGTGTTCCAGGGAAGCACTTTGGAAAGTTTCTGTTAGGTTGGTTGGGGTTTGTTGGGTATGCCACTGTTGTATCACTCGGTAACCCTCTATGATCTTTGCTGTCCCCTCTACCCTCCCCGTGCCCCACTCCGTCTCTCACACACACAGATATCCGGGAGACGGCCTTTGTGTATGCCATCACCTCCGCTGGCGTGACGCACACTGTGACTCAGGCTTGCAGCATGGGTGAGCTGCTACAGTGCGGTTGTGACAGGTCCCGCAACCATTCTCCCCCGCTGCCTGGCGCGGGCACCAGGACAGAGGGCACAGCCTGGGAGTGGGGAGGCTGCGGCGATGACGTGGAGTTCGGCTATGAGAAATCCAAGCAGTTCATGGACGCCAGGAAGAAAAAGGGCAAGAGCGACATAAGGACGCTGGTGGACCTGCACAACAACGAGGCTGGAAGGCTGGTGAGTCATTCTTGCTGCTTTCCTTTCAGTTCAGGCTGGGTGGCCTTTGGCTTTCTGTTGCTCAGCACACAGGATGCGACACTGGTCTTTGTAAAGTTGAGCGAGAGGCTTTAATTAGTGGCAGTTGTAGGCCATTCAGCCCCTCGAGACAGCCCTGTCATTTAGTAAGATCATGGCTGACCTGCTTGTAACCTCAACTCCACATTCCTACAAACCTCCAATACGAAGAGGCTGGGACCTTTCCCCCGAAGCATAGCAGGTTCATGGATGACCATGTAGAGCATTATAAAATCATGAGGGGCATGGACAGGGTGAATAGCTGAGTTCTTCTCCCCAGGGTAGGGAAGTTCAAAACGAGAGGGCATGTGTTTAAGGTGAGAGGGGAAAGATTCACAAGGGAACCAAGGGGCAACATTTTCACACAGAGGGTGGTGCGTCTATGGAATGAGCAGTCAGAGGAAGTAGTAGATGCCAGTACAGTTACAACATTTAAAAAGAAGGTCCATGAAACAGAAAGGCTTAGAGGGATGTGGGCCAAACACAGGCAAATGGGACTATCTAAGTTTAGGAAACCTGGTCAGCATGGATGAGTTGGGTCAAAGGGCCTGTTTCAGTGCTGTGTGACTCTATGACTCTTTCACCCTCTTGCTAACCAAGAATCCATCCACTTCTGTCTTAAAGATACTCATAGACTCTGCTTCCACTGTCTTGTAAGGAAATGAACTCCAAAGACAAGGGTGGTTGGCAGCACAGGCATTTGGTAGCCATTCCTAACTGCCCTCGAACTGAGCAGCTTAATAATCATTTCAGAGGGCAGCCATATCACTGTGGGTCTGGCATCGTATGTCGGCATTTGCAAAGGTGCCAACGATCTCTAACAGATTCTTGATGACCAAGGGGATGAAAGATTATTGGGAGATATGCAGGAATGTAGAATTGAGTTTGAAATCAGATTAGCCATGATGTTATTGAATGGTGGAGTAGGCCCAAACGGCCGAGTGGCCTCCTGTTCTTCCCTGCTCACGTCTTTGCTTGAGAGGTCAAGGCAGTGGTCATGCATGCACAGTGCAAAGTGGGTGTGCAAAACCCAAGTACCCCACTCACCCACCCATCACGTTTTCTCTATCCATGGCACAGGGTGTGGACAACATAGTCACCTAAGGAAACATACCTCCAGAGTGGAGGAAATGCATACTCCATCCTCGAGGGGCTGCCCGAGGAAAAGTAGGCCAGATCAGGTAAACAGGGCAGATTTCCTTCACTGAACAACATTAGGGAACTAGAGAGATTTTGACAGCAATTTCATAATTGCTGTTACTGAGAGTGACATTCACTTCCAGATCTTATTCATAGAATCCCTACAGTGCGGAAACAGGTTATTTGGTCCATTGAGTCCATACTGACCCTCTGAAGAGCATCCCACCCTCCTACCCTATACCCCGGCATTTCCCATTGCCAATCCACCTAGCCTGCACATCTTTGGACTGTGAGGGGAAACCCCACACATTCATGGGGAGAATGTATAAACTCTACACAGACAGTTGCCCGAGGGTGGAATTGAACCTGGGTCCCTGGTGCCGTGAGGCAGCGGTGCCAATCACTGAGCCACCATGCCCCCACCACACCCCACTGATGGTGGGATGTGAACTCATGTCTGTAGATCACATTATTTGAATGACTATAAACTGAGACTGTAAAATGTTCAATGAGACCTGGGTATCCTTGTGCACCAGTCACTGTAAGCATGCAGGTGCAGCAGGCAGTAAAGAAGACAAACTGTATGTTGGCCTTCATAGTGAGAGGATTTGAGTACAGGAACAAGAATGCCTTGCTGCAATTATACAGGATATGAATGAGAGCATTTTGACCTCCTTATCTGAGAAAAGATGTTCTTGCTATGAAAGAAGTGCAACATTTACCAATTAGATTCCTGGGATAACAGGACTGACATGAGGAGAGATTGAGTCAAGTTAGGATATGTTCACTAGAATTTGGAAGAATTAGGGAAGATCTTATTGAAATCTATAACATTCTGACAGGACTAGACAGGTTAGATGCAGGAAGGATGTTCCCAATGGTGGGGAAGTTCAGAACCAGGGGTCATAGTTTAAGGATAAAGGGTAGATCTTTTAGGACTGAGATGAGGGGAAATTTCTTCACCCGGAGAGTGGTGAGCCTTTGGAGTTCACTACCACAGAAAGCGGTTGGGACCAAAACATTGAGATAGCAAGAGCTGCAGATGCTGGAGTCAGAGATAACACAGTGTGGAGCTGGATGAACACAGCAGGCCAGGCAGCATCAGAGGAGCAGGAAAGCTGATGTTTTGGGTCGGGACCCTTCTTCAGAAAATTTTTTTCTTTATTATCTACGATCAAAACATTATGTGTTTTCAAAGTGGATATAGCTCATGTAGCTAAAGGGATCATGGGATATGGGGTGGGCAGGATTAGGATAATAAGTTGATGATCAGCCATAATCATATTGATTGGTAGAACAAGCTCAAAGGATCAAATGGTCTACTCCTGTTTCTATTTTCTACATTTCTATATTATTTACATTGGTCTCTGGATTACTAGCCCAGTGACATTACCCAGTTAAGATGTCACAACATTTGAGGCTATGGGCCAAATGCTGAAAAATTGAATTAGGTTGGATGGACTCGATGGGCCAAAGGGCTCTTCATTAAGAGATGGGGGAAAAGGCTGGTCTATCAGGTTAGATTAAAGATCACCCATGATTTTATTTGGTGGCAAAATAGGCTCGAGAGATTTTAATTGACCAATTCTTGTTGTTACACCCCAGCGTCAGACTCCAGCTCAGGAGTGTCAATGGAGGAAGGTACAGATAAGTCAGCAATGAACTGAATCACAAAAGAGGTTCAACAGGTTGAATAGCTAAGGACGGAAGTCAGTCTTTCTCCTGAGACTCTTTCCTGCATTTGTCCCATCAATGCATGCCAGAGTAACACCGATCACTCGGTCCCTCCATTACTTGCTAATTGTGTAGGACACAGGCAAGTCACCTTTACCAATCGTAGTTACCATAACTACCAGACATCTGAGACCAGATGACTCAACAGAAGCGCTCATAGAAAATAAGCGAATGATAAATCATGCAGGGGATGCAATGGCCTAGTGGCATTATCACTGGACTGTTACTCCAAAAACACAGGTAATGTTCTGGGGGGCTGGGTTTGAATCCTGCCATGGCAGATGGTGGAATTTGAATTCAACAAACAAAGCCTGGAATTAAGAGTCTAATGATGACCATGAACCCTTTGTTGATTGTCGGGGAAACTCCCAGCTGGTTCACTCATGTCCTTTAGGGAAGGAAACTGCCATACTTACCTGGTCTGGCCTACATGTGACTGCAGACCCACAACAATGTAGTTGACTCGTAACTGCCCTCTGGACAGTTAGGGATGGGCAATAAATTCTGGCCTGGCCAGCAACGCCTTCATCCTGTGAATGAATAAAAAAAAAATCCTTATATCAAACAATGAGTTTGTGACGCTCTCTGTTATGTCTTAGCAACTGTATTGTCCTGTGACATAAAGGGGTAGAGACCTAGGCTCAATTTGATATAGATATGATGTGCTAAATGGCCTCACTCTGTGCTCTGTGATTATGACGCAAAAGACCTTCTTTATATATTAATTACATGTTGGGCAGTCTTATTATTAGGGTCATTTGAACACTTCACCTTTATTGTATGGTGGAGCACATCATAAAGCTTTTCAAATTATTTACAGCAGAGAAAGCGGCCATTCGGCCCAGCTGGTTCATGTTGTATTGATGCAACACACGGGCTTCCTCCCACCCTGATTTATCTCACCACAGTTCTATATCTTTCTATTCCTTTCTCTACAATATGTTTAGCAAGCTTCATCTTAAACATATCGATGTTATTCTTCTCAACTGCTCCCTGCAAGGTCCACATTGTCTTCACTCTCTGGATAAAGGAAATAAAATCTTTCTTGTGATTCTGTTACCTGATGGTCTCCAGTTCTGGTCTCACCCGGAGATGGAAGATTCCCGTACCCGTACCCTATTGAATCCTTTCATTCCTCACTTATAGTGCAAGGCATGTTGAGAATGATCTACGTCCGAGTGATTGAGCCACCTCCTCTTTACCATGGATGTGCAATCCCTTTACACATCCGTTCCCCACCAGAAAGGCCTTAGGGCTCTCCGCTTCTTCCTGGAGCAAAGACCTGAACCATCCCCACCCACCACCACCCTCCTCCGCTTGGCAAAGCTTGTCCTCACCCTCAATAACGTCAACTCCTCCTCTCATTTACTTCAGGTAAGAGGGGTTGCCATGGGTACCCGCATGGACCCTAGTTATGCCTGTCTCTTCGTGGGGTACGTGGAACATTCCTTGTCCCAGTCCTATTCTGGCCCCCACCCACAACTCTTTCTCCGATACATCGATGATATCATCGGTGCTGCTTCCCTCTCTCGTCTGGAATTGGAAAACTTCATCAACTTCGCCTCCAATTTCCACCCTGCCCTCACTTTCACCTGGTCTGTCTCTGACTCCTCCCCTCCCTTCCTCGACATTTCTGTTTCCATTTCTGGGGATAGCCTGGCCACTAATATCCATTACAAACCCACTGACTTCCACAGCTACCTGGACTATATATCCTCACACCCCACTTCCTGTAAAGACTCCATCCCATTCTCTCTGTTCCTCTGTCTCCATCACATATGTTCAGATGAGGCCAACTTCGACAAGGGAGCCTCCGAAATGTCCACCTTCTTCCTCAACTGAGGATTCCCCAGCTCCGTTGTCGACAGGGCCCTCAACCAGGTCTGACCCATCTCCCGCACTTCCGCCCTCATCCCTTCTCTACCCTCCCGCAACAGCGATAGGGTTCCCCTTATCCTCACCTACCATTCCACCAGCACCCACATCCAGAAGATCATCAGATGCCATTTCCGCCATCTCCAGCAAGATGCCCAAACCAGACACATATTCCATCCGCCTTCCGCAGGGAC